AAAAAAATAAATAAATATAAATATAAATATAAATATAAATATAAATATAAATATAAATATAAATATAAATGTAGATTTAAATGTAAATAAATTTATTAGTTGGAGAGAAAGAGTACTGCTACATTCGCTGTTGCTACTATCCCTGCTGCTGCTGTTGCTGCTGCTGCTGCTGTTGCTGCTGCTGCTGCTATCCTTCCTGCTGCTATCCTTCCTGCTGCTGTGTTTCCTGCTGCTGCTGCTGCTGCTGCTGCTATCCTTCTTGCTGCTATCCTTCCTGCTGCTGCTGCTGCTGCTGCTGCTCTCCTTCCTGCTCCTATCCTTCCTGCTGCTGCAATCCTTCCTGCTGCTATCCTTCCTTCTGCTGCTGCTGCTGCTGCTGCTGTTGCTGCTGTTGCTGGTGCATAGGTAGAGAAGCGTCGTCAGCAGAATACAGCAGCAGAGGAGACAGGAGAGTGTGGGGTTTTGTTTATAAAAAATTTAAATTTTATAACAAAAGAGGAGACACTTGCTGCTCACTTTGCTCCACTCACTGGACACCCAGAGGAAACTGTTATTTGCAGGTATGCTGCTGCTGCTCCTGCTGCTGCTGCTGCTGCTGCTGCTGCTGCTGCTGCTGCTGCTGCTGCTGGTGATGGTGGTGGTGGTGGTCGTGGTGGTGGTGGTGCTGCTGGTGATGGTGGTGGTGGTGGTGGTGGTGATGCTGGTGGTGGTGGTGATGCTGCTGATGGTGGTGGTGGTGCTGCTGCTCCTGCTGGTGGTGCTGCTGCTGTATTTGCTGCTGCTGCTGCTGTATTTGCTGCTGCTGCTGCTGCTGCTGCTGCTGCTGCTGCTGCTGCGCAGACACCCGGATGGGAGATCGAAGGGTTTTGGTTTTTTGCGGCTGAGAGAAGAAAGCGGCGTCCTGGCGGCTCTTATGCTCAATGGCTCACTCCTCGGTAAACCCTAAACCCTAAACCCTAAACCCTAGACTAAACCCTAGACTAAACCCTAAACCCTAGACTAAACCCTAAACAATAAACTAAACTCTAAACCCTAGAGTAAACACTAAACAGTAGAGTAAACCCTAAACACTAAACTAAACAATAAACCCTAAACCCTAGACTGAACCCTAAACACTAAACACCAGGTTATACCCTAAACCCTAAACCCTAGATTAAACCCTAAACCCTAGACTAAACCCTAAACCCTAAAGGGCCTAGATAAGACCCTAAACGATAAACACCAGAACCCTAAACCCTAAACCCTAGACGTATCCTTAAACCCTAAACCCTAAACCCTCGCCTGATATATTAAACACAAACTGTAAGCTGAGCTCTAAACCCTAAACCCTAAACCCTAGGCATGAGGGTTTGTTCGTTTATCCTGCTGTTCTCCTTATTTCCACTGCATTTTCCTCAATCCTGTTGCTTCTCTTGCTGCTGCTGTTGCTGCTGCTCCTGCTGCTGTTGCTGCTGCTGCTGCTGCTGCTGCTGCTGCTGCTGCTGCTGCAGATGACCGCCGCATAGTTGTATCGAAGTCTACTCGCCCCATAACGGTCCCCAAGCCGCCAGAGCAGCAGCAGCAGCGGCGGCGCCCGCAGAGACACCAGCAGCAGCAGCAGCAGCAGCAGCAGCAACAGCAGCAGCAGCAGCAGCAGCCAGTACTGGGCCGGTCGCGGCATAAAGCACGCATTGCGCTGCCGAGCGGTGGGCTGCGAAGGCCAGCAGCAGCAGCAGCAGCAGCAGCAGCAGCAGCAGATACAGAAGCAGCAGCAGCAGCAGCAGCAGAAGCAAACACAGAGACAGCTGCAGCAGAAGCAGCAGCAACAGCAACAGAAATGGAGGAAGATAAGCGCAGCGCATAATATTGCTGCAGCATCATCAGCAGCAAAACACACTGCTGCTGCTGCTGCTGCTGCTGCTAAACCAGCAGCAGCAGCAGCAGCAGCAGCAGCAGCAGCAGCAACAGAAGCAACTCGTTG